ACCACCTACTCTTTGTGTGAAAAGTGAGTAATCATAATGAGATTGAACAAATCCCATATCCTTGAGAGTAGAGGTCAGCTTCAGGTTCCACTGTCTGGGAGCCTGTTTAAGTCCATACAATGACTTATGTAGTTTACATACTTTCATCTGATGACACTCCCCCTGGCTGGCAAAGCTATCTGGGATCTGCATATAGACTTCCTCAAGAAGATCACCTTGGAGGAAGGCATTATGGACATCCATTTGAAAAATGAACCAGCCAGATGCTGCAGCCAAAGCCACCACAGACCTGACTGTCACCATCTTAGCCACATGAGAGAAAGTCTCCTTGTAATCCAACCCTTCAAGCTGGCTATACCCCTTAGCAACTAATCGAGCTTTATACTTTTCCACTTCTCCATTAGATTTGTACTTGACTTTGAACACCCACTTACAGCCAATAGGAGCCTTACCAGGAGGCAGATCAACAATGGACCAGGTCTGATTTTCCTCAAGGGCTGCAATCTCAGCTTGCATAGCATCTATCCACTTAGGATCAGTGCTGGCCTCAGCATAGGAGGTAGGTTCAGGCACAACAGAATAAACAGCAAGACAAGATTGATAGGCAAGAGACAACTTGTCATAACCAACATAGTTAGAAATGGAATAATTGCAAACAACTCTTTTAGTGGGAACAACATAGTCTTTCAACCATATAGGAGGAACAGAGGTCCTAGAGGATTTTCGAATAGGAGGAGGAAAAACAATGGGAAGAGGACTGGATGGTGGAGGATGAGATGATGACAGAGGAGGATCAGCTGATGAAGCTGAAGGAAGAAAAGGAGAGTCAGATGAAGAAGAAGGAAGAGAAGAAGAGGTAGGAGAAGAGGTAGGAGAACAATCAGGTTCTATCATATCCAAGACAGGAAATATAGGGGAGGAACCAGAGATGTCATGTTTAAAAGGGAAGATAGCCTCCTGAAAAACAGTATCTCTACTTACAAACAAGGATTTGGAGTGGAGATCATAGAGAATGTAACCCTTTTGTACAGAAGAATAACCAAGATGAACAGCAGGAATGGCTCTAGGAGTAAACTTATCAAATTTACTAGTAGAAGAGGCATAGCAAAGACTTCCAAAGACTTTCAAGTGCTGTAGAGAAGGAACCTTACCATAAAGTTTCTCAAAAGGAGAGGCTCCTTCCAATAAGACAGTAGGCAATCTATTTAAAAGATAGACTGCTGTGGAAACACACTCACCCCAGAAGTGGTGTGGAATAAAGGCTTGAAACCTCAAGGCCCTTGCCATGTTGAGAATGGACCTATGCTTTCTCTAAACTCTACCATTCTGTTGAGGTGTGTACACACAGGAACTCTGGTGAATGATTCCATGCATCAACAGAAGACTAGTCACCTGCTCATTAAAGAACTCAGTACCATTGTCAGTCCTGAGGCATTTAATCTTGCTATCAAATTGAGTTTGAACTAGAGTTAAGAACATTTTCAACACAACAACATATTCTGCCTTTGTGTTCATCAAGAAAATCCAGGTATACTTAGAAAAGTCATCCACCAATGTCATAAAGTACCTTCTACCATGATGAGTTGGGACCCTGTATGGACCCCATACATCAGCATACACAAGTTCAAAGGGAAGGATGGAACTAGAAGTGCGGTGAGGAAATGGCAGTCTAGATTGCTTAGCAATAGGACAAACTGTACAATGATGATCTTGCATAGGAATGTAAGGTAAACTACTAATTTTTTGTAGAACTTTTAGAGGAGCATGCCCCAGTCTCTTGTGCCATAGAGACACACTACAATTATTAGTAGACTTAACAGAAGCTGCCTTATTTGAACTAGAGATATTATTTGCAGAAGATGCTAGCTTGTTGCTTTGCTTGGCATTTAACTGCTATACTGGTCCTTCAGGAGTATCTGGCTTCAGGATGTAGAGTCCACATTCTTCCTTACCAATCCCCATTACCTTCCCACTCAAGAGGTCCTGAAAAAGACAGAAATCAGGAAAGAAAGCAACAAGACATCTTAACTCCTTTGTAAGCTTTGAGACTGAAAGCAAGTTGTATTTGAAGTCTGGAATGTACAAGACATTCTGTAATGATTTTGTTTTGAAGATTTTGGACACTCCTGAGTGACTGATTGCAATCTGCTCACCATTAGGAAGATGAACTTTGTTATGGTCTATACTAGTCAGATTTTTGATTTCACTTAGTAATTTGGGATTGTGCACCATATGGTTGGAAGCCCCTGTATCTACTATCCAGTTACCATTAACTAGATGAGTCATAAAGGCTCTTATAGTACCTGTGTTATTCATAGTTGATGCATTAGCCACTGATTCTACTTGCTTTCCTTTGTTTAGCATGTGCAATATCTGATTATATTGTTCTTGAGCAAACACTGGAGCAGGTGAAAACTGAGGAGTAGGCTGTGGAAGGTCAGGAGGTTGAAATTCTCTAGCAGTGAATGCATTGTTCACCTGTGGGCCTGAATAACCTCTTCTCTTGGCCTTGAAATCAGTAGGGTATCCATGAAGTTTATAGCAGGTGTCCTTTGTATGACCTTTCAAGTGACAGTAGTCACATTGTAGTGCAGATCTCCCAAAACCGTTTCTAGGTTTGAAGTTGCTATTTCCATTTCCTGCATTAGCTTTACTCATCAGTGCTGTAGACTCATCAATGCCAACACTTAGAGCTGTACTGTTCTTCCTTTGACTCTCAACATTGACTACCATAGCATAAGCCTGGTTGACATTAGGGAGTGGCCGGATCATAAGAATCTGATCTTTAGCATTGTCAAATGAATCATTTAAACCTGTTAAAAACTGATACAATTTCTGTATTTGGTAATGCTCTACATGTTGCTTAGATTCAGGACATCCACATGAGGGTGGAGGAGCTAAAGCTTCATACTCATCCCATAGCTCTCTAAGTTTTGAGAAATACTCTGACACTGTTAGCAGATTTTGAGTCAATTTTGCAATTTCCTTGTGAAGATAAAATGATCTAGCAGCATTCACTTTATCAAATCTTTCACGAAGATCCTCCCAGACCTTGTAGGCACCGGATGCATAGATCACAGTACTTAGTAGATTAGGAGCTACAGTGTTCATTATTCAAGCTAAAACAATCGCATTACATCGATCCCAAAGTTCATGAAGACTTGGATCATAAAGCTCCTTTCTACAGGTTCCTAGCACAAAACCTAACTTGTTTTTCCCATGCAACACGATTTTCATAGATCTACTCCATAGGGAGTAGTTTTCAGATCCTCGAAGCTGAATCGAGATTAGAACAGCACCTTGAGTATCAGAAGGATGGATATACAAAGGATGATTATGATGAACTAAGTGAATATGCTGATTATCAAATGTAGATGATGTAACATTAGTCGATGTCGACTCATTTTCATTAATCGCCATATTAAAGAGAATTACTAACTCAAATCGTTGTGAGCTTCAGAGAAAAATCGATGAATTGTTCAGAAAACAACAAACCCTAACTGGACAAAGGAAGTCGTATCTTCACCTGTAACTTGAACCAGATGAAAGAACAGAGAACAATTCTGGATTCGATTAGCTCAATTACACCTTCTCTTTACTCGTCTGCCATTGATGAACTCGTCGGGATTATGCCGAGCTCTGATACCATGTTAAGGGAGACGCAGCCATTAAGATGCAACAGGAAAGGAATCAGAGAAAAGTAGAAGAGAATAGAAGAGCTGAGTATGGGAAATATCGAATCACTTCTTCATGTACTGTACATGTGTATATATATACATCACCTAATCACCTAACAATATATTAGCTATTGACAGCTGTACATGTGGTCCAACTAACTAACTTCTACTAATCTAACTAACTGCTCCATTGTACACTCTTCTCAACAATTACCCTTGTCGCATATATAAAGTTATAAAATGTAATACAATAACTTTTAATTAATATTATTGAAGATTAATTCAGAGTTAGTATAAGAAACCTAATATTGTTTGGAATTTAGTAGTTGTTAGTTTATTTAATTCGTATTTGAATAGGTTTGGTAATCGAATTGATATGAAAATAGAATTTCTAGTTCTACTCAGAGTATGTTTTGCACTATTTTAAATGCTGGTGCTACTATCTATTATTATAGTGTAGCATTAAAAGATATTGAGTATATATTTATCTCCCACAATTATCATAAGCAACCGGCATGACTTCTAATTTGCAGGTTTACTTCAATATCTATATTCCTTTTTTTTTTTCCTTCTCTTTTATCCCGATATTCTCATATACTGTCATACATAATCTCGTATATTTTTCTTCTTTTACTTGATAACAAAAGTTAAAAGAATAATAGAAGGATTAATGGAAGAATTGTCTTTAGACCGACTTATTATAATTCGCTTTATTAATTTTCGGAGAAATTTATGAAAAAAATGTGTGTAAAAGAAACGTGTTGCATAGTGTAGTTTCTTGAAGAAACTAAGTGGATTTTTTTTTTTTGGATAAAAAAATATCTCCGGGTTCACCCAAAATGATATTTTGAAATAATTTTATTAATCAAGCACTTTTTTTTGAATGTCTCTTCAATTTCAAAAATATCTCATGTCCAATTGACCTCTTCGCGAGGTTATTAATAAATTATCAAACTTTAGATTTAAATTATATACATTGAAAATATAAAATAAAAATGTATAACTTTAACTTGTGATTTGTGAATAGCAAATTAATTACATGTAATTGCTTAATAAGTAATCTAATGCTGTAAATTTTTTAAAATTTAAATTTATCTTATTTCAGCATAAGCCTTAAATCACGGAACTACGAGATTCTACATCAATTTTAATTAGTCAAAAGTTGGTCAATTAATTATTCGAATTATATAATGGCTGGAAAAAAAATCAAAAGAGGCTACATTTTTCTGGAATGATGGAAACATCACAAGAAGTAAACACTATTTCAGTATTAGTCCTTCATTCGACTTTCATTTACATTTCACCCCCTAAACTTCTCAAAAACCACAGGTCCACAATCCTTAGCCCCTTATCTCTACCAAACTCCAGCTCTCGTCGAAGCATCTTTGAACTTCTTAACAATGGCTAACACTTTATGTATAACTCTCACTCAATCTTCTTGTCCCACTTTACCAAAACTTTATTCATCAAAATCCCTTGTTCAGAAATCACATAGAATCTCTCTTACCCCATTTCTCAAATTTCAAGATTCAGCTCCTACTCATTCTTCCACCAGAGGGTTCACTACTATATGCTTTTCTAGTCCCAGAAATGGTCCTGATTATAAAGTAAGTTAATTAACTTATCATAAAAATTGGCAACCTACTCTTTTTACTTTTATTTAAATGGTACTTCCTGTCTGAATAACACCTTGTCGTATTTAGGAACAGTTCAATTTATAGTCATATGTCTTGTTTTACACCACAGGTTTCAATTTTTTTTTTTTAAATTAAACTTTGTGTCTAGTCAAACTGTACATGAGAAGGTCATATAGCAAAAACAACTAGTTTGCTATCAAGGCATAGTATTTATTAATGATTTTGTGGTATATCTTGATTGTGATGTTGAATTAATAAAAAAGGTCATCCTGGTGCACTAAGCTCCTGCTATGCGCGGGGTCTAAGGAAGAGTCGGATCACAAGGGTCTATGCATTTCTGCAAGAGACTGTTTCCACGACTCGAACACGTGACCTCCTGGTCACATGACTACAACTTTAACAAAAGTTGCGCCACTGACGTTGACTTAATAACATTTTATATATTAGGTGGAAGTAATTGTGCTATGCCAAAAGTAGTGTTGTGGAATCTTGAAATTGAAAATGATAAATTTGAATGCTTTTAGAATGAGCTTCTAAGATTGGTTTTTTCTTTGAGTAATTCTTGTGTTGTTTTTTTAATCCCTACAGGGAAGTGGACTTGACTGGCCAATTTTGAGACGCTGGAATGTGCCATGGAATTGGCAAACTGTTTCACTTTCTTCGCTTGCGTGTGGATTGAGGTGTTATTTAGTTACCTCACTAAGTTTTCAAATATGTCTGATCAATGAAGTGTGATCTTATTGTGATTGGTAAAAAGATCAATTTTTTTGTAACGGGGTACTCCCTCCGTCCCATTTTATATGGTTGTTTTTTACTGTCCACGGAATTAAGAAAGAAAGAAAGACTTTTGAAACTTGTGGTTTAAAATAAATTGTAGACTTTTGTGTGGCTATAACATCATATTAAAGTAAAATGGGCAGTTAAAGTTAAATTATTTCTAAATAGAGAAATGTATCATTCTTTTAGGGACAAACTATAAAGGAAGTATATTATTGCAATCATGCAAAAGATAGAAGATTTGTGAAATGCGATGTTTTATTGGTTTAACTTGCTGTAAATGTAAGTTATTCTTTTAGGTTGTGTAAAGTATCTTTATAAGCTGATGTTCTGCTTTGTCTTAGAAATATATTGGGTAACTAGCAACGAAGTATTGATCTTGGGAGGAAAAAGCTAACTAATATTCAGGCAGTTTTGTTTTGACAGGACTAATAGAGGCAGCATCAATACCATATGTAGGACTTGACGTAGATGAATTGAGCTTGGATGAGAAAGCTGAAATTTTGTTTGCCGATCAAGCGTATGGACAGTCATTATAGCATCGTTTATTTATCCAGTTTAGTTAACTTTAACATTGTGTCAAACTTCAGAGATTCTGATCTTTTGTTTACTTCTGGATTTTCAGTATAACAACTGCGGTTGTGCTAATAGTCCTTTATACTCTCACCAAGTCATCTCAACCGCTCCCTGATGACATATATCGTTATGGTAATGAGCGTTTTTCAAGTCATAGACGAATTCATTTGTCTGCAGCTTTATATAGTCAGCAATTGGATAGAAGACCAAATCACAGTTTCGTATACTCTGAATTTGTTACAGCAACTGATTGGTTTACGTTTGTCTATTTCCAGATTTGAAGGAACCTTTCAATCTCCAGAGAGGATGGCTTTTTTGGGCTGGAATTGGTCTAGTAGGAGCAATAGGTGCCATTGCTTTAACAGGAGTGGCAATGTCCACTTTCAACGGTGAGACGCCACCTAGAGAGGTGAGAATTGAAAATGCCATTCTTTCTACAACCTTCAATAGCAAATACTAATAAAACTGAGGTCAGAAAAAAAGATTTCTTTTAGGTTCTGAGGAAATGGGTAAATAAGTTTACCCATTTTGCAATATCCTGAACTAGAGGACAATAATTGAGGAGCATATATGAAATGAAGGGACATAATTTTTATAATCCATTGTACAACATTATGGATGAGTACAATTACTCAAGAAGCATATCTGTTCATCGGTCAGTTGCACACGAGCTTTTGCATGCAACAGTGTGTTGGCTTAATTAAATTAGCTACATTATGGGGATTAATGTAACAAAGAACTATTGGATAATACTGCTATTGTTGTCTCTACATGTACATTGACACACAATAAAGTTCATTCTTCTCCCCTGTGATGTTTTTTTCTCATCGAATTTTTTTCCCTCCCCTGTGATGTGTTTTTCCCCCTCTTTTAATTCCTTACAACTTGTTACAGACTGATGCTCTTGCCCGATTACTCCCATTGATAGGCTCTTCAAGTATCAGGTATTTCTAACAAAAAGTTTGAAATTTTATGTGTATTATCTCTATCATCCAATAGGTCAATTGCTTTTTTGTTGATAGCTTTGGTGTCACTTACTGAGTACTTATGTAAGATAATATACCGTAGAGTAACCAACTTCCTTTTTTATGTAGTACTGTTTCTCTGCTGGGCATTACTGGTGTACTTGCTCCAATTCTTGAGGAGACTGTGTTTAGAGGATTTTTTATGGTCTCTCTGACCAAGTGGTACGATTCCTTCTCGATAACTTTGATTACAAATATTAAATTGCTTCACGTTTGGTGGGAACTGGCACTAAGTGACCCTGTGAATCTTCTGGACTTAGTTGGAGAAACTTGAAAAGCGATGCATAAAAAGTTTTAAAAATATGAATTGCTTAGGTTAGATGAAGTTACTGCATTGCTGGATCATTATCTCTTATGAGCATGAAAACCCAATAAACACGTAAAGATTATACTTTCAAGTTTCACCAGTTGATCCGCTTTTTCTGTTTTTATTTTTTAATTATATATATATGATATCTTTTGCCATCCAGGAATCTCTTTCTATGGATTCTGCCACCTGCATTGCTCTATGCGTGACAAGTTTGACCCTTTTAAGTTGAAAGTACTTTCGGGCTTGACCGACTGATCCTTCAATATTTTGCTTATGAACTATGATATTATCTCTTGTATATTCTGTTTTGGATGTTTTATACTAAAATTTGGTTTTCACGGGAATGAGGCTAAAAGAGTGCACACCCAGTTAGAATGGAACAGCTATAACCGAAGGTTAAGATACAATAGGAAGTGACTAAGAGAGTTATACATGCTAGCAAAGACCGATACCCAGACCTTTCTGTAATCCTTCATGTGGAAGGAAATTGATAAAGGATGTCAAACACTAATGGGGTTGTGAGTGACAGACAAGTCGCTGCTGTCTGGATTCCGTTAATGGGCTAAAGAGATAACACAATTAAAAAATTAAAAAAGCCTCTAGATCAAAAGTAAAAAAGATTATATAAAAGATCACGTTTCGTTGATTCATACATACACGAGCATGTTTAATGTGGACAGACTTGATGCTTTGTTGTCTCTCATACTTATCCATTTCGCATTGCAGGTTACCTACACCGCTTGCAGCGGTAATTAGTGGTGCTGTGTTTGCTCTTGCGCATCTCACTCCTGGACAATTTCCTCAGCTGTTTGTTCTTGGTATTACTACTATATTCTTAAATATAAATGACACTGGATGATAGAAGAGTAAAAGCAGGAACTGCAAAATTAAATACTAACATAAATGGTTTTTACTTCTGGAAGTTCTAGCAAGTTCAAAAAAGAAGTGTTTAACTTTATACTGCATAAGATAGGATCAATGACTTTCTATAATTTTTATGCTAATATTTTATTCATCTTTAGTAGAGTGAAATTGCTCCGGTTGGAGCAGAATGGATATAGAGGTTCATATAGCCGACCCTTGTTTAAAATTCATAAATAGCCACTTTTATGACTGATGTTTGAAACTCAGCTACAGTTTCATAATTGTTTGTAATTAACCACTTTTTTAATGTGGAAATAAGATTTGAATTAAAATATCCCTAGCTAAAACACAAAAAATCTCCAGCACAGTGTGCTGGAGTTGTGCTGAAGTTCTCCATATTTTAGCTAGGATATTTTTGTTCAAATTTTATTTTCGCAATAAAAATTATCTATTTTTAACTACATTTCAAACGGTGGCTAAATATTAAAAAGTGGCCCAAAAACTGGCCATCCCATGCCATTTTAAGCCGACACTCTTACTAGTTTTGGATTTAGGCATAGTTGATTGATTGATTAATTGATTTTGCCCGTTCTTATCACTGCGTATATATTTTCTGTTTAATCTGACTTGAAAAATGACATGTGCATTCAGGGACTGCTCTGGGATTTTCTTATGCTCAAACGCGGAACCTCCTAACTCCCATCACAATTCATGCTTTCTGGAACTCTGGTGTTATCTTGCTTCTAACCTTCCTTCAGGTAATCTTTAATCTCCTCGTTCTTTCACTTAAGTTCGCTGCTTCATGAAATCATTTAAGCTAACTTAGGATTACCATCTGGCAGTATCTGTTGTCTATGAATATTAGTGTCTCGAATAACTTCAAAGATGCTTGACGATTAAGTCTGATTCCTTCCTCTTTTAACTCTTTCTTATGTAGCTTCAAGGTTATGATATCAAGGAAATAATACAAGCAACTTGAGCGGGCCATGGTAATTCTCCGAACAAGGCCAGTTACATAATCAGTCGTCTTCATTAGCTTGTTCATAGTTGCTGAACATCGGAAGAAATCTGATTATAGTTTCTGTAATTTAGGACACATGAGAACTGGAGCTTGTATGTAATGGAAGAAATTATTTTTTCTCCAATGCCGAGTTGCTTAGTCTATTGGAAGAGCTACTAATGCTCTTTCTTCATGAAAAGCAGGGGAAGAATCCAACAAGGAAGCCTCTGTTAATTTCTCAATAATAATCTAATATACTACTATTAGTAGGTTTTGATTGCACATTTTTCTTTAATTTATCCCTGTGTACAAGTTAGTCGGGATCAATTATATGAATGAATCTTCGATATCCATTTCACTTCATTTGTACATGTTTCATTCCAATACTCAATAATATGGGAATTCTCTTCAACATCCGGAGGCATTCAGGGTTCGTTTGGTATAAGGGATAAGGAATAATTAATCCCGGAACTAAATTTAAGAAGAGCTTATCCCGTGTTTGGTTTTTAGAAAATTGCAGTATAATTAATTCAGGGATTTTTTTATCTCCATGTAAAGGTGAAATAACTAATCCCGGGATAATTAATCCTGGGACTTAAAAAGGATACTCAATGATGGTGTTCTCTTGGGAAAATTATTTAAGAAATATCAATCTGGATACAAAGTATAACAGATCGGTGGTGAATCCAAAACAGAACATTGTTCAACTTCAGTATACAAAAAAAGATTTATAGTATCATAGTAATAAACAAAAGAAAAGAAGAAAATGACACGGCTTCATTGTTTCGGTCCATGCAGTCAGCAAATACGGATTAATGTCTACATAAGCTTTCACTTCCTGAAATTCAACAGTATAAGAATAGTTAAGATTGCATCTCACAAAATTTTACCGTTTTGATATTTGTCGCTTAAAGTGATGATTGGGTGTCAAAATAACGTTGATGTGTTCTGCAAAATATAAAATTGATGTTTCAGCGATAGATTTTAAATCATATAACATGGGTAATATAGGTTGGGGTGGTGAAATGTCATGCCACATCGTGTCCACCTCATTAAAAAGTCGATGACACGTAGGATTGGACTTCCACGTTGGATAACCCTTACGGATAATATTTGAGCTACTTTGCCAACGTTGGGGGTGTTTTGTACGAAAAGTATAACGGCAAGTAAAATTGATCGTTTTCACATACTAGTAGAGAGACAAATTTGACCTTTTTACTTAAAATAACTAGAGAAGTAGATCTACATCTAGTTCAAAATTATGATAGGAATTTATAACTGTTGTTTATCTAATTTATAGTGACCAACCCTTTCAAACAAGGATCCGATCCGAATGTGCTTCTCTCTTAGCTAGACTCCCCTATAATATATGGTAGTTTCACTCCCTCTCACGATTATTGCAGTTTTATTTCCCTAAAACATGGTTTAAGACAACAAATTTTACCTATATCCTCTAGTTTACATTGAAAAACAATGTACCACCAACTAATAACTTTTTTTTCCCCATGAATTAGTGAGAGAATAAAAAGACGAAATGCTTACAAGAACTCCGAGCTATGCAATGAAATATGATGTATGGATTCATATATATTCAACGTCTTGTCCCATATTTGACAAAAAAAAAGTGCAAAATGAGCATAGCAGTTAAAATAAAGCAGAACTTGTTGGCACAAATAATGGAGATAATTTGTATGGAGCAAATGATTTGAAGAACATGACTGAAGAACAAAGTAAATCCAGAGAAGCTACAAAGTTGCCTTCGACATAAACAAAGTAAAGAAGTGAAGATATTAGTCTTCAGACATTTGGACCAAAGAGCTACACGTGGACATGGGCGGATGTATAGGTAAGATGACGGGGCACGCGAACCCATTGTCACGACCCTAAACCACCCCGATCGTGATGGCGCCTATCGCAGTACTAGGCAAGCTGAATCGACAATTATAACATAAACAAGCCATTTTCTTAATTCCTTTACTAATCAGATATTATCACAAATCTTTTCGTTTAAGCATTTTCAAAATACGCGGAACACAAATGTGTAAAACATAAACCACTGTCCGAACCCAGTGTCACTAGTCATGAGCCACTAAAAATATAATCTGATACTGTCTGCTCAATACAGGATGAGTCTGATAATGACATATACTAATAGATAGGAAGGAGGAAGACAAGGCTGCGGACGTTGTGCAACTACCTTGCTAACTTCGGAAATACTCTGAAGGTAGAAACAACTCTCACTCAGATGCTCTGGCACCTGGATCTGCACACAAGGTGCAGGGAGTAACGTGAGTACGCCAACTCAGTAAGTATCAATTATAAATAAAGGCTGAGTGCAATGACGAGCATTTAAAAATCATATACAACTCATAGCATAGAGTCTCAAAAAGAAATAACAAAGTCAAATAAGTAATTCGATTTCCGAACATCTCGTAAAAACTCCAGTTTCAGTGAAAGCGATTTAAAACATTTGTTCAACATTTTTCAATAGAGGCTCAGTATAAAAGAAGAGTGAAACAGTAATTTCATAAAACAAGCCCCTCGGGCAAAGTATCACTTATATATTTAGCCCCTCGGGCAAGCCTCTTAGTCACTCGTGACTCAACTCTCATCAATCAGCGCTCACACTCAGCATTCCCGCTTAATAGATATCTCATAATAATAACCACTGTAACGTGCAGCCCGATGCGTAAATATATATATAGTCGACTGCGCTCACTGGGGGTGTGCAGACTCCGGAGGGGCTCCTACAACCCACGCTATATCGCTGCGGCGCGCCGACCGATCCAACATATTGCTGCGGCGTGCAGCTCGATCCATATACATATAAATACCGTTGCGGCGTGCGGCCCGATCCATAAATATATATAATCCTCACCATCAGGCCCTCGACCTCTCTCAGTCATCAACCTCATAGCCACTCGGGCATTTCAGTAAAAAATCAGGGAACTCAGCCCAAACAATTTTCATATATTTGAAAGTAGAGTAATGAAACTAAATCAAACAATCAACAGGTACAAATCATGACTAAGGATATGCTTTCGAATCAAAACAGTGTGGGGATAGTAGTAAAATACCCTTGAGGGTCCAAACAGTACGGCACAAGGCTCCAAACATGGCATTCATCCCAAGTTAACAGATTCATTTCTAAAGCACATAGATATCATATAGAGTTCATCAAAATATGCAACTCTACAGTTGCCACGGGACGACCAAGTCACAATCCCTGTGGGTGCACGCCCACACGCCCGTCACCTAGCATGTGCGTCACCTCATTTATCAAAATAGTGAAAAATTCTGGGGTTTCATACCCTCAGGTCTAGATTTACAATCGTTACTTACCTCAAGCCGAGCGAAAATCTACTCCGCGATGCCCCTACCTCTCGATCCGGCCTCTAAATGCTCCGAATCTAACCAAAATCAGTATATTATCATCAATGCATGCTAAAGGAACAAAGTCCATACGAAAATTATCAAATTAGCTCAAAAATCCCGAAATTGGTCAAACTCGACCCCCGACCCACGTCTCGGAATCCGATAAAAATCACAAAACTAGAAACTCCTTTCATTCCCGAGTCTATACATACCAAAATTATCGAAATCAAACCTCAAACGGTCCCTCAAATTCCCAATTTAAACTCTCAAATTTCAAGCCCTAGTTTTTCAAAATTTCACCCCTAATCTCTTCAATTTCCATGCTTAATCAACTGAAATTCACCATAGATACGAGTTTTAAGTGTTGATTTCCTCTTCAAAACCCTCCAAAAGCTTCGATCCCGACTTCAAAAATGGTGGAATGGGCTAAATTTCACGAAGGGAAACTTATATACTTTCTGCCCCAGGGATTCCGCACATGCGATCCCATAAGCGCACCTGCGCTTCCACTTCTGCGGAAAATATCCGCTTCTGCGGATTTCACTTAACATCACAACCCTCGCATCTGCGGTCGCCTTACCGCTCCTGCGGCATCGCAGATGCGGTTTACCAAGCCGCACCTGCAGTCCTCCACGCACCTGCGACTCTTTTCCGCTCCTGCGGAGCTCGCACCAGCGGTCCCCAATCCGTTGGTGCGGATATGATAGAAGCAGCAACACCAGGTGTAGTTTCTCAAGTTCAAACTTTCCGAAAACTATCCGAAATCATCCCGAGGCCCCCGGGACCTCAACCAAAAATACGAACAGGTCACCTAACACCACTCAAACTTATTCCAACCTTCGGAACACTCGAAACAATATCTAAACACCAAATCACCCTCGGATTCAAGCCTAAGGATTTCCAAACTTCTGAATTCCGCAACCGATCCAAAAACCTATCAAACCTCATCCGAATGACCTAAAATTTTGCACTCACGTCACAAATAACACAGCGGACCTACTCCAATTTCCGGAATCCCATTCTGACCCCGATATCAAGACTTCTACTACCGACCAGAAAATGCCAAATTTCTAATTTCGCCAATTCAAGCCTAAATCTACCACGGACCTCCAAATTACATTCCGAATACACTCCAAAGCCCAGAATCACCTAGCGGAGCTATCCGAACCATCAGAATTCACATCCGAGAACTTCTACACATAAGTCAACATCCGGTTGACTTTTCCAACTTAAGCTTCCAAATAAGAGACTAAGTGTCTCATTCCACTTTAAGACCACTCCGAACACAACCCAACCAAAACGATACGACGGAATACAGCTAAATGACACATAAAGAAGCAAAAATGGGCGGAACGAGACTGTAACTCATGAAACGACCGGCCGGGTCGTTACACCCATGGTTTTTCGGCAAAATTAAATATTTTTTAAAATTTGTATGATATTAACAGTTGGCACTCATGCTCCAAGAAGGTTGAATGGGGCACATGGTTGAAGGTTGTGTTATTTATCTAGAGGAATAGGGATCAATTCCACTTAATACATTTTTTCTTCTTTTTTTTATTTGTGCACCCTTGTTCTAAAAATCCTAGATCCGCCTCTGCACGTGGAGGCCTAATTAGCATTGGATTAATTGTGTTGATTTCATCACAGACATTGATCTCTATTGACCTGGCAACATCTGGACCGTTGGATCAACTTCTAGAAACTACAGATGTTTTATAAGAATCGGTATAAATTTTATTTATTCTTTAGTTTTAGCTAATAGGAAATAGGACAGTTGGATAAGTTAGTTACAATAGATTCTTTTACATTTCGTATAAATATTGTACAGTGCTGAATGACATACACACAGAAAATTTCATAATCTTCATCACTTTCTTCACGGTATCAGAGCAGTGACATTCTTGTGCACTACTCAACCTCGTTTTCTTCTTCCACCATGGTTACTGATGCTTTTTCTGCAGGGAAATCTACGAAGTCACAGCAATGGATCCCAAGACCACAGTCATGGATTCCAGTCACCCATATTATCTTCATTCCTCTGACTTTCCAGGGATGAATCTTGTGAATTTCACCTTTGATGGCAGAGGTTATGGAAGCTAGCGTAGGTCAGTCCTTATCGCTCTATCAGTCAAAAATAAGGTTGGCTTTATTGATGGATCTTGCTCCCCTCCATCTCCTGATTCACCTTTAAACTTTGGAGCAGATGCAACGACATGGTTTTATCTTGGCTCCTCAACTCCCTATCCAAAGAGATTGCAGACAGTGTTATCTGCTCCAGGACAGCCAAAGATCTGTGGACTGATTTGGAAGATCGCTTTGGGCAGTCCAATGGAGCAAACTTGTATCACTTGCAAAAGGAGCTCAATGACTTAGTACAGGGGTCTAATGACTTGGCAGGATATTTCACAAAGGTGAAAAGGCTTTGGGATGAACTAGATACTCTCAATGCAAATATAAGTTGTGGATATGACTGTACATGTGGAGGTAAGGCCAAAGTATCTAAGTCATTTCAAGATGAAATACTCATTCAATTTCTTATCGGATTGAATGATTCTTATGCTGATGTTAGAGGAAACATTCTAATGATTTCACCTCTACCTAGTGTTAATCATGCTTATTCACTGTTGATTCAAGATGAAAAACAAAGGGAAATCTATGTTAACAATCAATTCCCTGGTGATTCATCTTCTTTTATGGCTGTTAATCAGTTTAGTGGTTCTCAGAAATTTGGAAACTCTGATTCTAGAGGTGGAAAAGGCAGGGGAGATTACAAGAAAAACAATCAGATTTGTTCCTACTGTAAGAAATCTGGACATACTGTGGATAAGTGCTACAGGATTATAGGTTTTCCTGCTGATTTTAAGTTCACAAAGTCTAAGAAATTTCAAGGAAGATCCCTGGCTAATGCAGCCATAAATGATGGAGGATCAGTTCATGGTTTTAACACGGATTCTGGAATGAATGTCCAGCACCAGTTATCACAAGACCAATTCACTCAACTCATTCAGTTACTTCAAGATGTGAAAAGAGGACAACATGGTTCTTCTTCCGAGGCTGTTGCTAATTCTGCTGCCTGTTCTGGTATAATAATCCCATTTTACACTGCATGTCTTGCATACACAACTCTATCTCATGTTGCACTCACATTAAGTCTAATTCCTGGATTCTAGACTCAGGTGCTAATGAACATATGGCTTTTGACATCACTATTTTTTCTGAGATCATCCCTCTTCCTATACCCTTAATAGTAAATCTACCTAATTCACAAAAGGTAAAGGTAACTCATAAGGGAAATGTTTTAATTATTCCCAATCTGATCCTTAGGAATGTGCTTTTAATCCCAAATTTGAATTTCAATCTTCTATCAATTCAAAGATTGTGCCAACAATATCACTGTTTACTAATGTTCTCTTCTACTCATTGCATTTTGCAGGCCCCTTCACTGAAGAGGCCTCTGGTTCTTGGTGATTTGCAGAGTGGTCTTTATCTACTTCAGCCTTCTAGAGATTTGTCTAGTATCTTCTCTTAGAACAATGTTACTCTTTCTGTTTGTAATCAACACTCTAGTAATTTGCCTAAGTCTAAGAAAAATGTTGATGTTTCTATTTGTAATCAACATTCTAGTTTATTTCCTGCTACTAGTTCAGTTTCTGCAGTAGTAAACTCTAAAGTTGATGTAATGTTGTGGCACACTAGGTTGGGCCATCTTCCCTTTTCAGCTGTGAGAAATATCAAGTCTATTTTTACAAATTCTCATTGTGATATTAATGTTCCTTGTGAAGTTTGCCCTTTAGCAAGACAAGCCAAATTACCTTTCCCATCAAGTTCAATCACTACCAGTTCGATTTTTGAATTAATTCACATTGACACTTGGGGACTTTATAAAACCCCTATCTATGATGGATACAAGTATTTTCTTACTATTGTAGATGATTATAGTAGGGTTACTTGGACCTATCTTTTGGTAACAAAAAGTAATGCATTCACCATACTTAAATCTTTCCTAAGCATGGTTGAAAGATAATTTTCCACAAAAGTTATGTCCATCAGATCTGATAATGCTCTAGAATTAGGTACAAGTGCTCTTACTTCTGAATTTTTCAAGTCACAAGAAATTATCCATCAAAATACTTGTGTAAATACTCCACAACAAAATGAGATTGTAGAACGAAAACATAGGCATCTTCTTGAAGTCTGTAGGGCATTGTAGCATCAATATAAGGTTCCAGTTTCCTTTTGGGGGGATTTCCTACTAACTGCTACTTTTTTAATCAACAGACTACCTTCTAGAGTGCTGAAATTCAAAACATCTTATCACATCCTTCACAAGAAGCCACCTTCTTATGAAAACATCAAAATATTTGGTTGCCTATGTTATGTTTCTACTCTGTCTGCACATAGAAACAAGTTGGAGCCTAGAGCAACAAAATGTATCTTCCTGGGATATCCAAATGGAAAAAAGGGTTACAAGGTCATGAATCTACAATCTAGAAAAGTTTTTATGTCTAGGGATGTTGTTTTTCATGAAAATATTTACCCTTTCTCTTCTGTCACCTCTACTGAACATATCTTTCCAAGTTCAGCTGTTCTTCATATGCCTTTTATTACCTTTAGTGAGCCTGTTGTCTCTAATCCCACAGCTGACAATTCTGCACCAGCAGAAACTCTCATCTTTACTCCATTTCTCAATTCTCCTACTTCCCCTGCCTCTATCCAATCCCCTATCTTGCCCGTTTCTACTCCACCACCTCTTTCTTCTATATCTTCTTCTAGATCACACACTCATTATATTTCTCCTATTTCTCTTCCTTCTCCTCATACACCTCAGTTGAGGAGATAAACCAGGGAACACCATCAACCAATTCATCTTATAGACGATGTGTGCAATGGAGTGTACCTCACCTACCTCACTTCTTCTTCTTTCATTCCACCAGTTCATCCATCCATCTATCCCTTTTCAGCACTTTCCCACACCAACCAACAATTATTAAATTCTATACCCCATATTTAAGAACCACTAAGTTATATAAAAGCAACACTGCATCCAGGATGGCAGCAAGCCATGACAAATGAGTTTGAAGCCCCAATCTCCAATCAAACATGGGAAGTTGTTGAGCTTCCAGTTGGTAAGAAAGCTTTGCCATGTAAATGGGTGTATAAAGTAAAACATAAATCAGACGGAAGTGTGGAAAGACTGAAAGCTAGACTTGTAGTTCGAGGAGATACTCAAAGGGAAGGAATTGATTTCAATGAGACTTGTTCACCAGTGGTTAAAATTACTACAGTTAGGTGTATTCTTGCAGTAGCAGTGAAGAAGAACTGGGGAATTTACCAATTATATGTGAATAACGCTTTTTTACATGGAGACCTACAAGAAGAGGTCTATATGAAGTTTCCACTAGGGATGCAGCCCCCTAATTCTAATCTAGTGTGCAGATTGTGCAAATCCTTATATGGTTTATAGCAAGCATCATGTCAGTGGTATGCAAGATTAACTCATGCCCTCAATTTCAAGGGATACACATCTTCCCTAAACGACTATTCTCTATTTTTTAAGAAAACGGATGATTTAATTTCTATTATCGCGGTTTATGTCGATGATATCTTGTTGACCGGGAATGACTCTGCTGAACTCAGTAATCTTAAAGCTTTTTTGGACGCAGAGTTATAAATCAAGGACCTTGGAGATGTTAATTATTTTTTGGGGATGGAAGTTATCAGAGAATCACATGGAATTATATTAAGCCACAGAAAGTTTACCTTGGATTTGCTTGCGGTATTTGATTGCATAGACTCTCCAGTTGTCTCATCTCCCCTTGATCCATCCCATAAGCTCCGAGCATATGAAGGGGAATTGCTCTCTATCCAACTATTTTTCGTCATTTAGCGCTCTGTGCGGTATTTTTTATGTTTATGTCTGTATTTGTTCTATAGTTGGATCAACCGTTTTCCTGGGGAAATTGAACTTTCTCACCCATACTCGACCAGACTTTCTTTTCCAGTCCAACATCTCAGCCAGTATATGCAGACTCCACGAATTCCTCATTTCCTTGCAGGGCTTCATGTAGTACGGTATCTGAGATCCGCTCCTGCACAAGGGATCTTCTTCTCCTCCAGTCCTTCTTTCAAGCTTCTTGATTTTTGTGACTTTGATTGGGTTTCTTGACCCGATTCACGTCGTTTAGTAAGTGGCTATTTCATTAGCCTAGGCGAATCCCCGATTTCCTGGAAATCCCCAAAAAAACTTCATTTTCTTTGTCATCGGCCGAGCCTGAATACAGATCAATGAGCCGTGGTGTAGCTGAACTCACTTGGATGGTTCGTGTTCTTGAAGACATATCTGTAAGCCCAACTCTTCCTATCCCAGTCCATTCCGACAGTCAATCGGCGATTCACATCGCTAAAAATCCCGTCTTTCACGAGCGTACTAAACATGTCGAGCTCGATTGCCATTTTGTACGACAACAATACCTCTCTGGCTTGGTTTCCCTCTCTTTTGTTCCTTCTTCCTCCCAAATCGCCGATCTGTTCACAAAACCCCTTTCCAGGGCCTTCTCATTCTTTGAATCTTCGCAAGTTGGGCGTCTCTCCTCTCCCCTCCAACTTGGGGGAGGGGGGTGTTGGCACAAATAATGGAGATGATTTGTATGGAGAAATTGATTTGAAGAAGATGACTGAAGAGCAAAGCAAATCCAGAGAAACTACAAAGTTGTCTTCGACATAAACAAAGTAAAGAAGTGAAGATATTAGTCTTCAGACATTTGGACCAAAGAGCTACACGTGGAGGCCTAATTAGCATTGGATTAATTGTGTTGATTTCATCACAGATATTGATCCTTATTGACCTGGCAACATCTGGACCATTGGATCAGCTTCTAGAAACTACAACTGTGTAACAAGAATTCGGTACAGATTTTGTTTATTCTTTATTTTTAGCCAATAGGAAATAGGACAGCTGGATAAGTTAGTTACAATAAATTCTTTTATATTTTATATAAATATTGTACGGTGCTGAATGAAATACACATAGAAAATTTCATAATCTTCATCACTTTCTTCAGAACTCTTACAAGTTAGTAGCTAAATGATTGTGAGGTTTCAAGGTTACGATGTCCTCGATCAGCTATCAATACGGGATCAATAAGGCTTTCTACATAGATTTCTGCAGCAAAGTATTCCTCATTTTCAATGGCCTCTAATTGTTTGGTTGAACCATCATATATCATAATAACTGGGGGAAGCAAAAGTAAACTTTCACCCTTATTTGACTGGCATAAAGGTATAGAGAAAATGGGTGAAAAAAATATAAACTCCCCAAGATCTCGATGATGTTCGATAGTGAAAATCTTTGTCCAAGATACTTTAACTCCACAATCCTTGAGAATCCACACATCAGAATTAGTTACTTGACGACAAGGACAAAGCACAGAAAGATCACTTCCCACCACTCCCAGTGTCAAAGGATAATTGCTATCTCCGTAACTGGGAAGCTCCAACCTTCTCCATGTCTCGTATGCTAAATCAAGAGAAATGATGTTGCACATATCGAACGTATCAACATTAGCAGATAAAGCCCAATAAAGCTTCCCATTGGCAAATTTACCTGAAGAATTTACCAAAAAGTTTCCCTGAAACTTATCGACTGTTCTCCAAGTATCATCCTTCAAACTGTAAATGTTGACTACAGTATCATATGAACCACCATCATCAGAAATACACTGAACAACTACTACTTTATAATCGTCACGTGCCTCATCATATCCAAAACCATATTTGCAATAGTAAGAGCAATTCCTCCTCAATTTATCTCCAAATGTAGGCAACTTCTTAGACTTCCTGATTGTGGGGTTCCATAAAAATGGCTCCTCTATCTTACTATACAAACAAATCAGTCCATTGACAGAACCCACAGTCCAAGTATAAATAGTCGGATTTTCCAAGGGAGAAGCCATGTTTAATAGCTCAGTGATTTGTTCCTTGTAAAACAAGGAAGGGAGAGAACGTAACTTGAAATTTCCTTCCGAGTCTTGAAATATAACCCTATGGTGGCTGCATTCTTTGTCATTAGCTGTTAATTTCAGATGGGCGTTTATAAATTCAGGGCTAGAGATTAGTTCAAGCCATGATTTTGAAACGCACCTGAATTTCAACAGGAACTTCGAGGGCACCTTTAAGAGGATTTTGACGATGATTTCACGGGGAAGAACAGGGATTATGAAATCACTCATTGTAGTGCAACAAAAGAGGTTGGCCTGAAAATGAATCAAGAACTATTTTAATCATTAAACAGTGACTCAGAGACATCTAAATATACAAAATAGTAGCCTAGTTCGATCGTTGTCAACTTTATACATTGTAAACTATTTATCAAACTGCATATCAAACCGCATAAACTATCCTAAAATCAAGACTTGCTGTACCCTTGCTCGTAACAAAAATGCATGTCATCTCACTATAGTGTTTCTTTTAACCAAAACTAGATAGGAGTTGGCCCGTGCTAGCACCGGCCTAACAAATTGATCGCTCCGATACACACCTTTAATGTTTGTTTGAAAATATATACAGTCAAACCTGTCTATAACAACCTCGTTTGTTCCGAATATTTTTGGTTGTTATAGCGAAGTGTTGTTATAGAGAACATATATTATAACATAATATAAAAATTGGTTCCGGAAAAGCTTGACTTTTATAGTGAAGTGTTGTTATATAGGGATGCTATTAAAGAGAGTTCTAACTGTATTGCAATTAGTTTGAGTAAATTAACAATTTGGTACATTTATCTTTGTATAAATAAGGTTATTACACGCCCCGATCTCAAGGGGGCAAAAAATTGATGGTATTTACATGATGACATTTTGTATTTTTTTCTTTTAAAGTATATTAATAAATAAAATAAAAAACTATTTTCCTTTTCACAATTGACTCTAAAAAATTTCTTTCTTGCTCCTGAATTCCCAATTCTATTCCACGTACTCATTCGTCTTCTTACTATTGGTCCTCAATATTTATCCTTAGTCAAATTTAGAGGTTTTAGTTCTTTTTTATAGCTGCATTAGTAATTTTTGTGCCCAATCTTAATTCTCTTTTTTTCTCTTAATTTCTTTGTACATTTCCCTGAGTTTTTCTTTTTCACCTTATGAGCTTATTCTCATAATTTAAATGTTTTTTTTTTAATTGTCTCTCATCTTCTATACTATTAGAGAATTCATCTATCACAAATAAAAAGGTATCCTAATACAATGATGTAATCTATCATTCTCAAAAAAGTCAAATCGGTAATAATATTACATTAATTTGCTCAACTAATCAAATAGCTTCATAATACTTCATCTAAAAAAATTGAAATGCTGCTCATCATTTCAGTTTTTCATATTACTATCGTATGTTTAATTCATTTTATTTTTATTAACCAATTGTTGAGTAAAAAAAATCTAGCTTTTGATTAAATATATATTGTTGCTCCTAAAGTATTAAGTTTTGTATGTTGCTTTATTAGATGAAATTTGTAGAAAAATAATTTAAAAATGGATAGATTTTCAGTTTGCTTTAGAAATTAGTCAAAATGACCTTAAACTAAAATATAAATCAAATATTTGAAATTAATAAATTAATAAGTTGATCCTTGTCAAAACTTTTAGTCTCAGTTTACTTGTATTTGATAGAGTATAATACAGTTTTCTTCGTTATATAGTCAAACATCTCTATAACAGCTTCGTTTGTTCCGAATATTTTTGGATGTTATAGCGCAGTGTTGTTATAGAGAACATATATTATAATATAACATAAAAATTGATTCCGGAAAAGCTTGAATTTTACAGTGAAATATTGTTATATAGAGTTGTTAAAGAGATTTCTGACTGTAGTTCAGTATTGAACTTATCTAAAAAAATAATTAATTTAATTATATTTCCAAGTACTTTTAAGTTATTAAGTCTTTATTGAATCTACGTGATTGTACAACAGTAACTTTTATCAGTAAGAGGTAGTTTAATATTGCATAATGATATGATAAAATTAGAAGTAACTAAATGTTTTCTTATTATTTTTAGCAGCAAGCAAGTTAATTATAAATTTAATATGATTAAGTAGAACACAATTTCCTTTTTTCTATTTGAAATATTTACGCCACTTGTGGTTATTTAGACAAAAACTTGATGATATTTTTTAAAAATAATTTATAAACTTTTCCAAAAATTTAGTCACATAATTTACGTAATTCACTATATACTAATTACAGAACCAGAAGCTAAAAGATTAATATAGGTGTATGCAGTTAGTAACTATTGACAATTGTAGTAATATGAATGGTTGAAAAATGTAAACGATTTAGGTGGGATGGTACGTGGGGTCCACATGGGGGAGTACAAAGTAAAGCTGATGTGAGAAGTGTGCAGTGACAGACTATGACAAACAAAAAGGTCAATTTAGTCAAGATACTCAAAAATTTATATAGCAGCTACAGTAATATTTCTTTTTAGCCTTCCATTTTATCTGAAATGACCAAATTATCCTTCCAACCCCAAGCAGACATGTCGTCCAGCTGTGTGCTAACTCCCCTTTATTAGATAGTAGAATGTCACACTTAACAACCACAAAAAGAAATCTATGAGAAGAAATATTCAAACATCACAAAACAAAGTACAATATAGTTGAAACACAGGTTTAAGATACCAATATAGATGGCATAATTTTAGGAGTTGGAACAGTCATACAGTGAATGGAGAAAGCGCGACGGGGAAAGCGCGACAGTGGGCGCAGGGAGGCTAAACAAAAATGTATTAATCTATAAATACAATAGGTAATTCTAGTTGAAGTATGATACTAAAATCAAAATTCCATTTGCAAGTAAGGAAATATTGAAAAAATTCTGAGCTTTAGAAAAGCAAGACCAGGACGACCAAAATTCAAACCCCAAAAATTCAAACACAAAGAAATTGAAAAAAGTTAACAGAAATAGAAACTTACAGAGAAAGTGAAGAAAATATGAAATAGAAGGGGAAAGGATTTCTTGATATTAGATAGTCATGGGTGAGAAGGTGAGTAATAGAAAAGGAAAAGAAACAAAAATACAAAACTTATAGAGAAAGGGAAACGGCTGATGGATTCTCTTTGTAATACTCCATCATATAGCCATGGTGGAGATCCCGAAGCAAAGTGGTGAAGAGGTCGATGTTTTCAAAGTTTCAACAAATGTCTAGCAGTATCTATTACCATAGTATACACTCTCCAACGCCTGCAACACAAGTAGCATTGTGTGCTTTTCAACTTTTCTGAATATTGTACCATAAATAATTAATTTAAAATAATAAAAGATGATATGAAAAAGATGTTCAAGATTTAGTTTCTTCTTCTCGATCTAATTCAACATCAGATTTTTTTGGCTGTATCCAACTTTGGTTCCTTCCAAGAATCTGTCAAAGGCTCTGGATTTCTCTTTTTACACCAAAGGTATAGCGTTGCCAAGCCACATGCTTGTGAGAAATGAGAATGTATCCTTCAAGATAGACCCATGACACCACATCCTATAACCCAATACCAACAATGTAATCAATAAACCCGGTAAAACACTGCTCACCAATAAGCAAACAAAAGAGTGAGGAAATTTAATGAGTGTTGACGAAAACCATGGAGATCAGGATTCAAGTCTTAATAGAGGAAAAAAACTAGCCAATTTCTTCTCGTAACCAGTGCTTGTGTTAGCAAGAGGTAGCAGGTACCGCGAAATAGTCAAGGTGTGTGCAAGCATGACTCGCACTTCACCACCTAATCCTATATATATGTATATGTGTGTGTCATATGTATGTATATATAAAAGAGGTAGACTTCAACAATGATATATTTCCTCCAATAGAAAAATATCTCTTCCAACCATTTAGCATATCAATTTCAAATATGATTTCAGTAGTAACCACCTACACCAACAGATTCACGCCATGTATGGATGTTCTATATCTCAAGCTCTAAGTTGTGGATACTTAAACATAACCCTGATATACTTTCAAGCCATACTAACATTCAATATGTATTTACTGACTAATATTTTGAGGAAAATTGAACTACAAATATTTGCAGGCATTGCAGGTCTATTCAGAAAGAAGTATAAAAACTGATCTGCTTGTTCACAATAATAAATATGACTTTATTATTGATTATCTAATTTATATTGATAGAACCTTGCAAACAAGGATCCTGTCCAAGCCTATTTCTCTCCTGGACTCCCTCTAATATAATAGTCTCACTCTCTGTCATGATCTTGGCAACACAACAATAATTTTGCTGAAGCTTTTGCAATGCAACATGGGATGTATAGAAATGGATTTGACAGGAAAATGGTGGAATCAGACTTTAGAATATTCATCCAATTGATAAAGGAACCAAATAAAGCTCCACGAAATGTGAAAAGAGCATAATGCACATAAAGAACTTGCTGCGCAGTTTTCAGGAAATTTCATTTTCACTATTTAAAGAAGCTAATGGACATGCCGCTTCCTTATCAAAATACAACCATAACCTAGAGGAGAGGGAGGAATACCACACCTCAGCAGCCTTATCACGACACATCAGGGGTCATCTCACGGTGGACCACAAAGGTCTATTGTACGCAGCCTTACCCTACATTTCTGCAAGAGGCTATTTCCACGGCTCAAACTCGCAAACTCCTGTCACATGACATCAATTTTACCAGTTACGCCAAGACTCCGCTTCGTTTTGTGCATTTCCCAATAGTAAAGAATTAAGTTTGTTCAATTCTAACATAGGATATGAGGAAAGGCATCACATCTCCGTCCTTCATGTTTTTAACTTTTTGATATTAATATAGAGGGTAGGTATCAAATCCGAACCTCAATCACCACAAGGTGGAATTAACCAACAAAAAAGATGCAAGGAAAAACAAAAAAACAGCTATTATTTCAGAACTTAGCACTAATAATTCAATGATTATCGCTTTTCCTCTTTTTCCTCTATCAAGGTTCCCTAAATGAGATGGCAAAGGTGCCCAAAAACCTAAATGATAGCCCTTGGCACAGGCTAGCTGCAAAGGCCTCAATCATCTTGTGCCCACTCTGCCTAGAGGAAAACATGCCTTTTGAAATGTTGTTCAAGACAACAAATTTTATCTGTATCCTCTATCTTACATTGGAACAATATACCGCCACCTAATAACCTTTTTGTTTCATGAAATAGCGACAAAATAAAAAGGAGAAATGTTTACAAGAACTGCAAGCTATACAATGAAATATGATGTATGGATTCATACCAATTCGAACTCTTGTTCTATACTTGATTAAAAAAAAGTGCAAAGGGCATAACAGCTAGGATAAAGCAGAACTCTTACAATAGGGGATCTGATAAATGGACCTCAAATCCCTCCGTTGTGGGACAACTCATTAGGATCAACAAGGGTTTCTACACAGATTTCTGCATGTTGACATCCCCTAAGTCCAGTGACTTCCAGTTTTCTGGTGGAACCATCCTTTGGGTTGTATATCATGATTGTTGGGGGAAGCAATAATAAGATTTCCCCATTATTCGGCTGGCAAAAATGTGTAGAGAAAGAAAAAATGGATGAAGTGAACATATATTCCCCAATATATTGAGGATATTTGATGGTGAACATCTTTGTCCAAGATGCATTAACTCCACAATCCTTCATCATCCACACATCAGAAGTAGTTCCTTCAGGACAAATACAAACCAATGCAAGATCACTTCCCACCCCTCCCAGCATCAAACGAGAATTGGCTTCTCCATAATTAGGAAGCTCCAACTTTCCCCATGTCTCATCTGTTAAATCAAGAGTTATGAGGTTGCAAACATTGAGCGCATCAACATCAGCAGTTGAAGCCCAATAAATCTTCCCATTGACACATTTACCTAAATAATCTCTCATATAGTAGCCCGGAAAGTTATAGACTCTTGTCCAAGAATCAGTCCTCAAACTGTAAATGTTGACCACAGTACCAAATGAACCACCATCATCAGAAGTACCGCAAATAATTACTACTTTATAATCGTCATGTAACTCATCATATCCAAAACCATGTCTGTAATAAGAGGTACGAGGCGTCATTTGAACATCTAACTTGCGCAATTTCTTGGACTTCCTAATTGTTGGGTTCCATATAAATGCCTCCTTAAAGTCAATCAAAAAACAAATCAGTCCATTGGCCGAACCCACAATCCAGCGAGGGGTTTTTTTCACGGGAGAATCAATGTCAAATACCTGAGCCCTAGTTCCTTTTTGAAACAAGGAAGGGAGACAACATACCTTGAATTTGCTTTTGAAGTGTTCAAATATAACCCTATGGCTGCTGAATGCTTTGTCATTAGCTGCTAATTTCATATGGGTTTTCACAAAATAAGGGCTAGAGATTAGTTGAAGCCATGACTTTGAAACGCACTTGAATCTAAACAAGGGCTTTGGACGCAGCTTTAAGAGGATCTCCGTGATGAGTTCTACGGGAAGAACAGGGATTACAGAAGTACCCATTGTAGCTGCAGAGAGGTAAGTTTGACTGAAAATGGAAATGGGTCTCGTAGCATGAGAGAATTCAGTGTAAAATGGCTTATATAGTTAGAATCTATGTTTTAAAAGGTGGGGCGTGAGTGAGGAGTTTTAGTTTTGACGATCCGAGGCGTAAGTGTGGAGATATGGGCATAAGCCCGTGCATCTTTAAATTTTATTAATTTCAAGAATTTTAAGATACTATAAAATAAAAAATAATTATAAAAATTACTTTAGCATTACAAAATTATAACAAATAATTTATTTAAAAATATTTATAAATTATAATTCAACTATGAATCTATCTATCTATATTATTATAAAAGTACGAATAATTTATGTTAAATGTTGAACGACTAAAATAGCCTCGAAATATTGATCGACTTTTATAACCTTAAATATTTGTATAATTTGAGGATATAATTGTAAAGCACCTAAGGCTAGAATTCTTTTCCCATTTAAACTACACATAAGGCAAACGTAAAAGTTTCAATGCTTCTCGGTTTTTAGGAGTCCTTTACCAAGTTTAACTTATTATAACTGATATGGGAAAATCCTTGGTAGGGAGCGCTTCCCCCCCGAAAGGGGCCCTATGCGACGCGAATCCGTTATATAGTCGAATTCCAATGCGGGTACCGGACACCGGGTGGGTAACCAAAAAAAAAAAACTTATTATAACTCCTTTTAGTTTTAGGAGTAGTTCTTATTTTGAGCACTTTTAGGTTTGCCCGTTCCATTATATTCTTTTAGAGTTAGGAACCCTTAATTTTTTTTTTCTATTTCAACTAGAGAAATTTGGATAGCTTTCGTTTTAAAGTGCTAAGTGTTGGGTTTGTTATTTAATAAATAATAACAAAAGAGGTGTGAATAGAAAATGGTGAGAAAAGAAATGGAGGGATGACCCGCGACCCGGTCCGGTCTAGCCCGTTTTTCTTTCCCGGATTAATTTAAATTCGTCTTAAATTTCCGGCAAAAATTTTCAACAGCCATGGCTGTTCTGAAACAGTGTCACACCTGTTCCAACAGCCATGACTGTTCTGAAAGGTTGCAAACCTCTTCAGAGGGTCACACCTGTTCCAACAGTCATGACTATTCTGAAAGGTTGCAAACCTCTTAAGAAACATCACCAAGTTGGCTATAAATAGACCTTCAAATCCCAGAATATTTACTTACTAAATTTTCTGAATCTTCTTCTTCTTCTGCACAAAATATTCCAGTGTGTTTTACGATCATCGAGTGGTTCGCCGATCACCAGAGTTTTAGGTACCGATACACTGGTGAGTTAAATCATTCTATCCTGGGAGGATATATTCCAGAACCTCGGGTACTTGAGGGGAATAATTTTCTTAAGGACACACTGTGTATTCAATGGGCTTGATTTGTTCCTACAACGTTTTCAGAATTTATTTTGAAGAAATTTACTGTTTTTCGGAATTAAATTTCTACTAACTTTCTGTTTCTGTTTTTTTAGAAAGATTATTATTTAATTTATTTACAGCAATACAGATAAATAACAATCTTAAGGAAATTATTTTATTATATTCTGTATTCTGTCTAGATTTTAATATTCTGATTTGAAGATATAAAAACTTCATCAGGGTATTGAAATTCAGAAAACGATTTGAAGAACATAAAAACTTCATCGTTTTTCTGTAAAACAGTATATAAAACATTAGTTATTTTTTACATACTGTTTATTGATTACAGTATAATTTACTGTTTTGGTTTTGCCATTAATTGATTGATTTCTTCTGTTGTTGACAGTAAGAAATGGCAAATGAAAATGGAAATCCTTCTGCGACTGTTGGTGCAACGACGATAGCCTCGTCAAGCCGCACTGCTGTTCCTCCGGCTGAGAAACCGGGGAAATTTTCTGGAACCAACTTCAAAGGATGGCAACAAAGGGTGTTCTTCTGGCTTACCACACTTGGTATGCAGAAATTCACTAGTGAAGAGCCTCCAGTGCCTGCTGCGGACATGCCGGATAATGAAAAGTTCATGGTTGTTGAGGCGTGGAAGCAGGCAGATTTTCTTTGCAAAGGCTATATCTTAAGTGCTTTAGAAGATGACTTGTACAATGTGTACAGTGCAATGAATACTTCGAAAGAATTATGGGACGCACTTGAGAAGAAGTACAAGACAGAAGATGCATGCTTGAAGAAGTTCGTGGTTGCCAAGTTTCTAGACTATAAAATGATAGACAACAAAACTGTGGGAACCCAAGTTCAGGAACTTCAACTTATTTTTCACGACCTTATCGCTGAAGGTATGGTCGTGAATGAAGCATTTCAAGTAGCTGCTATGATTGAAAAATTGCCTCCTTCGTGGAGAGATTTCAAGAACTATCTGAAGCACAGACACAAAGAAATAAAGTTGGGAGATCTTGTGATACGTCTAAAGATCGAGGAAGATAACAAAACAGCCGAGAAGAAGTCTCGTGGAAATTCAACGATCATGGGAGCTAATATCGTTGAAGAGACTGCTCCAAAAAGTAAGAAGAGGAAGAGGTCTTCTGGACAAACTAAGGAGCAGAACAAAAAGAAATTCAAGGGCAGCTGCTACAATTGTGGAAAAGTCGGTCACAAAAGCCCTGATTGTCGTCTCCCGAAAAAGGATAATAAGAAGGGACAAGCCAACATAGTGGAGAAGAATAATGAGATTGATGATCTTTGCGCAATGCTTTCAGAATGCAACCTAGTTGGAAATCCGAAGGAGTGGTGGATTGACTCTGGAGCCACTCGACATGTTTGTGCTGTCAAAGAAGCATTTGCGACTTACTCTACTGCTGGTCCGGAAGAAGAAATTTCCATGGGAAATAATGCAACAGCCAAGATTGAAGGTTATGGAAAGATATTCCTGAAGATGACTTCCGGCAAGGTGTTAACGCTCAACAACGTTCTTCATGTTCCTACTATTAGGAAGAATTTAGTTTCTACTTCTTTACTTGTAAAGAATGGATTCAAATGTGTATTTGTTTCTGATAAAGTTGTTGTAAGCAAGAACGAAATGTATGTTGGAAAAGGCTACCTCACGGAGGGCCTTTTCAAACTCAATGTAATGGTTGTTGACAGTATGAATAAATTTCAGCTTCTTCTTATTTATTGGAGTCAAATGATTTATGGCATATTCGTTTAGGACATGTCAATTATAAAACCTTGCGGAAGTTAATTAATTTAGAAGTATTGCCTAAATTAGAGTGTAATAAATCGAAATGTCAAATATGTGTTGAATCTAAGTTTGTAAAACATCGTTATAAGTCTGTTGAAAGGAATTCAAATCCTTTAGACTTAATTCATACTGACATTTGCGATATGAAGTCGACACCATCTCGAGGTGGAAAA